TCAGTAGCTTCTCTATATTTCTAAAATAATCCATATTTTCCCCTTAAACCATTTGGCTCCCTGGTGTAACTCCTTCCCCCACATCTTCCCATATTAATGCACAACATATGTATGCCAGCTCTTTCCACACAGTAAATCAGAAAATATTTCATATTAATATTGTTCCCTCTGCTGTGTTTGAAACCTCAGGGAAGAATTCTCTGATGCCCACACCACCCAATGCTCGTACACTTTATTCTTTCATTCTCTATGCCTTTGGCCTCATACTTGCCCCCAACTCAGTTGTGTAGTGGTTACTTATGTTGGAATTGTGTCTCTGACCGTCGTGATCTGCTTTGGACACTTTGAGGGTTGTGACTGAGTAAGCTTGTGCTGGGTTTTCCCCTAGGGTATCCAGTAGATAACTGTCCACACAGACTGAATGCATTCAGAATAAGATGTTAGTCCTAAAACCTCTGTTAATCCACTTATTCAACAAATCAGTTTTCATTAAAACAGACTGTTTACACTGCTTTATTTAATTCTCTGTTGTATTTCCCCTAGAGTCTGTCTAGAAAGGATTTTACTGTATGAGAACATTAGGGCCTCTGGGCACAGGGAGCTGATAAACAGGCCAAAAAGGTAGAGGTTTCCAGGTCCCAGTGAGAGAAAGAGGATAGAGGTGATCATGATAAAAATGTATTACATAAGTGATTTGAAAAGTAGAACTAGGGTTAGCATCTCTTGTAGGGTTGAGATTGGGATTATTAAATATAAAATAGGGGATCTACATTTAGTATAGGATACAATCAAATTAGGAGGTCAAGGAGGCAAGAAGATTTGTACATGAATGGCCAAAATGAAGATTAGGATTAAAATAGAGTTAATGCTGCTGTTCTGTCCTGATGCCAGAGTAAATGTTGAATCAAAGCCATTTTGTGTTGGGACTAGAATAAAACTAGGATTTCCCTTTTTCTTATTTCATCAGCATGTATCTGAGAGAATTTGGTATTGTTGCCACTGCCATGGGGAAAGCTGGGAGACAGCATCTGTGAGATTAGGACCCCAGGAAACTTTACACATTTTTTGGAGATATTTATTCATTCGTTCACTCACTCATTCATTCATTTATAGAACTAATTGGGGGCCAATTTTCTGCAACATTCTGGTCCTTGCTTCTATGAGTCTGAAATCCAGTGGGGGAGTTAAGCCAGGAACACACTACATGAACTGTACCAAAACTTCCACCAGGCAGCTGTTGTTTCTTGTTCTTAGGGGATGCTTTGGAGCATCTGATAAACTCTTATTCCAGGGAAGCAAACCTCCTTCAGCTGGGGGTTCTAATAAATTAGACATATTTCTAGACTGGGATGATTTCCTCAAAGTTTACTGAGAGATATGAGACTTCTCACCCGTGCTGGGGAGACACTATTTGTATTCAAGCACAGGGTTAAGAGCCTGGAGACTTGAATCAGTCTTCCTGGGTCCAAATGCCTGAAATTGTTAAGCTGCTACTAAATTCTGTGTCTCAGTTTCTGCATCTGAAAAAGGATGGCGATATTATCTGTTTCATAGTGTTGTAATAGAGATTAAATGAGTCAATGTGTGAAAATTACTTTAAATGGTACCTGGGATATCATAATCACTATATAAATACCTAATAATAACAATATAATTATCACCTTTCTGAGCAAGAGTACAAACCTGATGACCTTAGAGAGGTCTTAGGTCAGGAGTCTGGAACGCCAGTTGTAACACCACATACTGCCAGTCGATGGCACCAAAGCCCACATTGTTAAAACTGTCCTGCCGGCATAAACATTTTGAGGTCTCCCTCTCTGAGCTGTTTTCGGTTTGTGGGTGCCGTAGAAGATGAAACACTAGAACTGAAGAAGTTAAGCTTTCTACTAAGGCTCTGTTCTGAATTCCAGCCTAAGGATGCTGAAATATTTGACGACGGTATGAAAGCAACAGTGTGTATTTGAGAAGTTGCCTCATGGAAGTCACCAGGCCTGGGTTTTAGTCCTAACACTGCATGTCCTTGGGCGAGTTTCTGAATCCCTGGACTTCAACTTCCCCCCTTCCTTGCTGTCATCTGGGGCATAAAATAGAACAACAATGCAAAACAGACACTTAAGGAAGTGGGAAAAAAATCCGAGGGAGAAGTAAAGAAACTATGGTAGAAATGAGAAGTGGAGGTAAAGAAATAGTGATGATGTGACAAGGAGGTGAGTTGGAAATGGAAATGAAAAAATTGGGGAGATCACCATGGAGGTGAAATGTATGAAATACAAAATAGAGAAAATATTAAATTTGATTCATATGTTTCATACAGAGATAAGTACTTCCCCTTAGCACATTTTCAATCTCTGTGTCTCTGTCTCTCTGTCACACACACTCACACTCACACTTGCATGCATGCACACACACGTGGCTGTCATCCATTTCTGTGACATGACGGATGTGACGAGAGCAGAGGTGCGGGGAACACAGACTTCCTGACAAAACCATGAAGCAGTTGCTCTCACTTTTCACGCACATCAAGCAGTTCTCGCTCAGCTCTCCCTGAAGTCCTCGTCCTTCCCCAGCAGCCTCCTGAGTGCGCTCTTTACCTTCTTGTTCCTCAGGGTGTATATAAGAGGGTTAGGTGAAGGAGTGCCCACTGAATAGAAGAGACCAAAGAACTTGCCCTCTTCTGGGCACAGGGATTTTGGGGCTGGAGGGAAAGGGAAATGACTAAACTGTAGAAGATGGTGACCACAGTGAGACAGGAGGAGCAGGTCCCCAAGGCCTTTCTCCATGCTATGGCAGAGTTAATCCTCAGCACTGCCCAGGCAATGGCACCATAAGAGAGAAGAATGAGGGCGAGTGGCATGACCAGGAAGATGACACTGGACACAGCTAACTGAATTTCATTGTAGGTGGTGTCTCCTACAATTCAAGAGAGTTGAATTAGAGAAGGGATTTCACATACAAAGTCATCTATTTGCCGATGGGGGCAGAAGGGCAGGTGGAGGGTGGGTGGTATCTGGACTACTGATTGGACCAGACCCATTACCCAGGCCACAGATGCCAGCTGCCGGCACAGGCGGGGATGGATGACGGTGGTATAGTGGAGGGGCTGGCAGACAGCCACGTAGCGGTCAAAGGCCATCGCTGTCAGGAGGACACACTCAGTGGTGCCCAGAAACAGGAAAATGAAGAGCTGGACAGAGCAGCCAAGGAAGCTGATGGTCTTCTTTGGGCCCTAGAGGTTGACCAGCATCTGAGGAACAAAACTTTTAGTGATGCAGAGGTCCAGGAAGGAGAGGTTGGAGAGGAAAAAGTACATTGGGGAGTGGAGCCTGGGGTCCAGCATGGACAGCAGGATGATGAGTATGTTGCCCACTAGAGTCAGGAGGTAAGAAATCAAGACAACCACGAAGAGGATTCTTTCAAGCCCTGGGTGTTCAGAGAAGCCCAGAAGGAGGAAGTCCACCAGGGAGCTGTGGTTGACCATGGCCTATTCCTGTCCAGACCTAGAGGGATGAGAGGTGTCTGAGCAGTGCATTCCCACCTGTCTTATAAGAACTCACCCTGGGTACTTGTCAGGTCTTACCAAGTGGATGTTTCTCTTTCCGTTCCTTTCACCCAGCTTCCCCAGGTACATCAACATCCAGCAGCCCCTTCTCTTCCCCTGTGTCTCCAGGTCAAACATTGTCTAGTAGAATGGAGGAAACCATGAATGTGCTGAAAGACAGATGAAGCTTTACACGTACCTCAGACTTACTGGCTGAAGGCAAAGAAAGCCGATATAAAATATGGATTAATTAATTCAACAAACAGTTATTGAGTACTTATTATATTCTTAAAAATTTTTTTTTAAATTTTTGGCTGTGTTGGGTCTTCGTTTCTGCATGCAGGCTTTCTGTACTTGCGGCGAGCGGGGGCTACTCTTCGTTGCAGTGCAAGGGCTTCTCATTGTGCTGGCTTCTCTTGTTGCAGAGCATGGGTTCTAGACGTGCAGGCTTCAGTAGTTGCAGCATGTGGGCTCAGCAGTTGTGGTGCACAGGCTTAGTTGCTCTGCGGCACGTGAGATCTTCTTGGAGCAGGGCTCAAACCCATGTTCCCTGCACTGGCAGGCGGTTTCTTAACCACTGCGCCACCAAGGAAGTCCCCAAGTATTTATTATATTCTGAGCACTGTGCTACTACTGAAATTTCCCTTTATTACGTATGGATGGAATTACAAAGAAACGTGTGTTGAGTGAATTTTCTGATTACAAACATTTCTGTAGAATTAATCTTGCTTTCTAGTGATGGGCATGAGTTTCCTAGAATCATTCATGTTCTGTCTACTTTACACCTTTGCAGGGGATTTCACCAGCAAGTGAAATGTGGTCTGTGGAGATTTCTTCAACTTTCCATTATGTGTAATGTGGAAAATAAAAACAAATATAGTGTCAGTCAAAAAATGATTATTGTCTGGTTCTATAACAGCAAAAGTTCCATAAGAACTGAGGCTTGGACATGAAATGCTACCTTTTCATATAAGATGAAATTAGTAGTGAAAATACGTATTTTGAGTTTGGGGCATTAAACAGAGTTTTGGTTTTGTACAGTGCTTGGTTAGTTTCATTCACATATGATTAAAAACTTTTTATTTTACAACAAAGCGAATCAAATATATGTATATTATCTTTAGAACCATTCTGGGGAATTCCTTGGCAGTCCAGTGGTGAGGATTCCCAGCTTTCACTGCTGGGTTCCCAGGCTCAATCCCTGGTTGGGGAACTAAGATTCTGCAAGCCTCATGGTGTGGCCAAAAAAAAAAAAAAACCCACTCTGGATATGATTAAATATGTACAGAGTTTGGGAAATGAACACAGGAGATATGTTAAGAGGTGTTCCAAAATGGGAAAAAGCATGCAAATAAGTGAGCTTTGGATATTTATGACAAACTTTGCAGATTTTTAGTTCTACCTAAGGCTGACACTATTTTTTGTTTTTATGGCATTGTCTCCTAGCCTTTCATAAGGAACAATGGAAACCAGCAATGGAATTTCCAGAACAGACTTCATCCTTCTGGGCTTTTCCGATCAGCCCCAATTAGAACACATCATCTCTGTGGTTGTCTTCATCTTCTATATTGTAACTCTGGTAGGAAACACAACTATCATTTTTGTATCTTACCTAGACACCCAGCTCCATACTCCCATGTATTTCTTCTTATCCAATTTGTCTTTTTTGGACCTCTGTTATACAACTAGCATTATCCCCCAGATGCTGGTAAACCTATGGGGTCCAAAAATGTCCATTACATATGGAGTGTGTGTGCTCCAATTCTTTGCCCTTAACTTGGGAGCCACAGAATGTCTTCTCTTGGTTGTGATGGCTTGTGACCGCTATGCTGCTGTCTGTCAACCTCTTCACTACACAGTAATAATGCACCCTCAGCTTTGCCAGAAGATGGTATTGACTGCCTGGTTAGGTGGTCTTGGCAGTGCCTTAACTGTTTGCTCTTTGACTTTGAAGTTGCCAAGATGTGGGCACAGGGAGGTGGATAATTTTTTCTGTGAGATGCCAGAGTTGATCAAGATGGCTTGTGTCTACTCAGAAGTAATTGAGATTGTTGTCTTTGCTCTATTTCTTCTAGTACCTCTATCACTAATTCTGATCTCATATGGAGCTATCACTCAAGCTGTCACAAGGATCAAGTCAGCAGCAAGGTGGTGAAAGATCCTTAATACATGTGGTTCCCATCTCACAGTAGTAACTCTGTTTTATGGAACAATCATTTATATGTACATGGAGCCGCAGACTAGCTCCTCGCAAGATGAGGGGAAGTTCCTTACTCTCTTTTACCAGTTGTCACACCCAGCCTTAACCCTCTGATCTACACTTTAAGAAAGATGTGAAGAGTGCAATAAACAGAATACTGTGGCTAGAAAAATGGCCAGCAAAGTCATGAATTAGATGGAAAAATCAGAATGTAGAGAGCTAAAGAAATAATATTCACCTTTTCCAACAGAAGATGAATCAATTCATTTATTAAAAGAGCATTTCTTGGGTGTTTACCATGTACCAAGAATTGTACTAGGTACTGACCTTGTAAATAAATAGGAAGAAGAGAGAAATGATAAGGAGACAGAGATACAGATATATAAATAAAATGTAATTCATGCATTTAAAAAGCTTCAAGACTAATCAGGGACTATAGATAAATAAATATATAATTAAGAAATGTTGTAAGTACAGTAATGTACAAAGAACTGAGGAAAGATTTCTCATAAGCATCTATTCTAAGATTGTACTGAATTTTTTTTCTCCCCAGACGTACCACTTTTATTAGAAATAACACTCTCTTTCATTCACCCGTTACTGCCAGAGGAGCCTCTGGTGGGGACTAACAGCCCACCAATACCCATTCCACCCTCTGCCTCAAGTTTTAACTGAGCATGGGGCTACCATGCTACAAATTACATTTCCTAGCCTGGCCTCCATCAACACAATTCCAGAGAAGTGATGTGTGCAACTTCTGGGTCATCTCAAATATGAAGCCACTTGCTCTCACCTTCCACCCTCTCCTTCCTCTTGGCTGGAATGTGAACGTGAAGGGTACCTACTTTGACAAAAACCCTAAGAGGGAATGGAACAGTAAGATGGGAACAGAACAACTCCATCAGCAGAACAAAGCCTCCAGATTATTACTGGAGAAAAATGTTTCATATATTATTTAATATTAATTAAGCCACTGTATTTTGGGATCTCTCTGTCATAAGAGCTTAGCTTTTACCCTGATATTGCCTATTAAGGAGTGTAGGCTTTTCCCTGTAGGGCAGTGTGTTCCCTGGACCAGTAGCATCAGCATCACCTGGCCACTTACTACAAAAGCGAATTCTTGGGCCCCACCTCAGACCTACTGAATCAACAATCTGAGTTTGGACCCAGCGAACCATGTTTTTCAATAAGGCTGAAGTTTGGGAACCACTGTTGTAGAGAATAGGGAGACACTGAATGTCTCTAAACAGAAAATTAATGTGGTTTTATAGATTTTAATTTCCTTCCTGATAGATATGTGAAAGAAGGTGGATAAGGACTTCTCAAAGCTTTTAGAGAAGTAGTTTCCAAATGTCTTAAGTGTCAGACTCCAGGTCATGACCAGTGCAACTTTTTTTTTCCCGCCAATCTGGAGAAAGGAGAAAAATAAGAAGTTTCAACTAAGGTTAAATGAAGTCAATATAAAAGGTTATTCCTTATTTAATACTATCTTCTTGCACTTTGGCTTTATAACGTTCTTTCTTTTGTTGAATTATGGTGGTAGTAGATGGTGATTTATTGGAAAGGGGCTTGATGCTCTTAATTGACAAAATAAAAATTTAGTAATCTCATGTTTGCTCCCTCTTTTTTTACTTTATTTTACTGGTAAATACACTCAAAATCTGGGGATCTCTATGCTGGAGAATAAAATAAACTTCTCTACAAGTTGGCCATTTCAGAGATTGAAAATCTTCTCTGCAAGTGAAAGATTCCTCACATCTACAGTGCCATTGTTATGTCATTTCAAAGGCAAAGTAAGCCACTATCTGCCTGAAGTATCAAATTTTGGGCTAAACTGATGTTAGGCTATTTCTCATCTGCTCTTTCAGTTCTATTAAACAAAGGCAGACCTTTGTTAACAGAAAAAAAATTCCTTTGTGAGAGAGAATAATATTAGCTATTTGACATTTGTCAAAAAAAGCAGATACTTTTTAAAGAGGACACTAATTATTATCACTAGTCTATAAAAATATAGATTTTCTTTGGAGTTGAGGATTCGAGATTTTATAACTTTTTTTTAAGATACAGTAGTATAATCAAAGGAAATACTGTCAAAGACTAACATAACTTTAACCTATTTTCATCTAAGATTTTAGGTGCACATTTACAGTATCCACATGAAAATGATGGGTTTTAAGTTCTTGTGCGCCAACTGATATATCAAAAGAAAAGTTTCCATCCTTGCTCTCATTGTATCCTGTTGGTAAGAAATGTTTCATGAACTCTGAGTACAAATATGGTCCATTGCTTTTCTTTATTGCCATTATTTTCCAATTTATTCATTAGCCCCCAACTGCAATATTAACAGAACGTCATATCCATTTTGAGCTCCCTTTCCCCCAGAATGATCTCCAAATTTGAAATTCCAAAAATGAGTTTATATCAGTTCGCATACCCAACCAGGAAAGGACCCCTAAAAGTCCACTACTGCCATTTTGGCTTAGTGCCACAAGGTGGTGCTATTGAAAAAAATGGTCCTTCAAGGCATAAGCACTGACATGGTAACTAGAACTAAATACTTCAGATCTCTGCAGAGGTCACAATGGTCCTTATAGGGAAGTAGACTCCCTTCTCCGCTTTTTCATAACAGTTGTGTCCCAATGAGCCCTGCCTTCTGTCTCCCTGAGTGGCAGATCTTCATTTTCAGGTCTTCCAGTTTGAAATTCATCCATCTTCATCACAGAGCTTGCAGCCCAATAACTCTGGCCAAATTTGCTTGGGTGTGAGGTTCTTAAGGCCCTGATCACTGTGCCCTTTTCTTCCTTGGGGATCCCCATCTCCGTAGTGTCGGACAATTTTTCCTTCATCAATCAATCTTGCAACCCATACCCCCCTCCCCAGACACACACACACACACACACACACACACACACACACACATTAATTACACTCTTCCCCAGAAGATGGCACTCTCTATCCACACCCTCTCCATACCCCCAGCATCTCTAACTCAAATTTGCTGCAAGAATGTGGTGCAACAGGCCTTAGGATAAATTCTGCAACATCACACAGTGAGAACCAAAGAACAAGACTTATTGGGGAAACACAGAAACCAAGAGTCAGGCACGAGAGGCAAGGTGCCTCCGTCCTCTCATAATCCCATGGAGAGGTGAACTAGGGCCAAGGCCAAGCTGTGCTCTAGTCCTGACCCAACTGCCATACCTTCTCAAAAAGTAAACTTGAATGCTACTTCTTAGTGAGATATCAAGACTACTTGGTTGCCAATCTGGGTTTAGATGCCAGCTGTTTGAAGAGAGCCAGCTACCTGGCACCTGGAGACCATGGATACTGTGGAAAGTTGCAGTGCCTCCTGTTAGGGAGTGTAAGGTACTGGTCCTATGGTAAACTGAGTTTAGGTGCAGCCCCTCCTTCCAGGAGGAGGGGGAAACCCCAGTTCCAGCTAGCTCCTTTCCTAGGCAACCTAGAGTGAGATCCCAGGATCACTTTTGAATAGTTCTGCTCATTGCCACACAGAAGATTAAGGAAAATATTGCAGTGTTCAGTATGCTCTGTAATTAAAGTGCTCAGTAAATATTAACTATTGTAATTAGTCCTATTTGACTATTCCTTTTATATAACTCCCTTAGGAATCTCATATGGGAAGAGTATCAGAAGTAATTGACAGGGATGGACTTAGCCTTTGCTGAATATGTTAGCAAAAAGAAAAAAAATCTAAAAGTACCTCAAACCTCACGCTCAACTCTCTATGTGTAAGTTGGACTTAAACTACACATTAAACCAGATGGACTTAACATTTACAGAACCTTCCATCCAAGAGCAGCAGAACACACATTCTTCTCAAACACACATGAATATTCTCAAGGATAGTTCATAAGAATTAATATTGTTAAAATATCTATACTATCCAAGGTAATCTACAGATTCAATGCAATCCCTATCAAAATTCTAATGGCATTTTTCACAGAAATAGAACAAACAATCCTAACACTTGTGTGGAACCACAAAAGAGCCTAAATAGCCAAAGCAATCTTGGAAGAACAAAATTCCAAGAGGCAGCACACTTCCTGATTTCAAACTATATTACCAAGCCATAATAATCAAAACTGTATGGTACTGGAATAAAAACAGACACATAGATCAATGGAACAAAACAGAGAGCGTAGACATAAACTCATACATATACGGGTAATTAATTTACAATAAAGGAGCCAAAAACATACAATGGTGAAAGGACAGTCTCTTCAATAAATGGTGCTGGGAAAACTGGATAGCCACCTGCAAAAGAATGAAACTAGATCTCTATCTTACACCTCTCACAATAATTAACTCAAAAAGGATTAAAGACTCAAATGTTATGACCTGACCATAAAACTCCTAGAAGAAAACAAAGGGGGAAATAAATGATTTTTTGGATATGACCCCACAAGCACAGTAAAAAAAAAAAAATCAACAAAATGAAAAGACAACCTATGAAATATGAGAAAATACTTGCAAAACATATATCTGTGAAGAGGTTAACATCTGAAGTATATAAGGAACTCATACACTCAACAGCAAAAAAAAATCCAATTTAAAAATGGGCTGAGGACCTGAATAGACATTTTTCCAAAGAATATATACAAATGGCCAACATGTACATGAAAAGATGCTCAACATCACTAGTCATCAGAGAAATGCAAATTAAAGCCACAATGAAATATCACCTCATACCTGTTAGAATGGCTATTATCAAAAAGACAACAAATAACAAGTGTTAGTGACAATATAGAGAAAAGGAAACCCTGTGCATTGCTAGAAGGAATATAAACTGGTACAAACCATTATGAAAAAAAGTATGGACATTCCTCAAAAAATAAAAAAGAGAAGTACCATATGATCCAGCAATCCCGCTTCTGGGTATATATCCAAAGGAATGAAAACAGAATCTCAAAGAAATATCTGCACCCCCATTTTCATTGCAGTATTATTCACAATAGCCATAATATGGAAACAACCTAAGTGTCAATCAGCAGATGAGTAGATAAAGAAGATGTGAGATATATTATATATATATATATATATATATATATATATATATATATAATGGAATATTACTCAGCCATGAGAAAGGACATCCTGCCATTTGTGACAACATGGATGGACCTTGAGTGAAATATGCCAGAGAAAAACAAATACTGCATGATATCACTTACATGTGGAATTAAAAAGAAAAAACCAAGGTAGAAAAATGGTTGACAGGGGCTGGGATTGGAGAAATAGGGAGAGGTTTATACAAGGTTACAAGGGGAATTCCCTGGCAGTCCACTGGTTATGACTCTGCACTCTCACTGCCATGGACCCAGGTTCCATCCCTGGTTGGGGAACTAAGATCCCACATGCTGCACGCGCAGCGTGGCCAAAACAAACAAACAAACAAACAAAACTACAATGAGGTACCATCTCACACCAGTCAGAATGGCCATCATTAAACAGTCTATAAATAACTAATGCTGGAGAGGGTGTGGAGAAAAGGGAATCCTCCTACACTGCTGGTGGAAAACAGTATGGAGGTTCCTGAGAAAACTAAAAAAAGACTGAATTACCATGTGATCCAACAATTCCACTGCTGGGCATATATCTGGACAAAACTATAATCAAAAAGATAAATGCACCCCATGTACAGCAGCACTATTTACAATAGGCAAGACATGGAAACAACCTAAATGTCCATCAACAGATGAATGGCTAAAGAAAATGTGGTACATATAAACAGCGGAAAACTACTCAGCCATAAAAAAAAAAAAAAAAAAAAAAATTCCCACTTGTACCTTTCCACCCCCCCCTCCATATTCGCAGTTCTACATCCTCCCACAGATCATGTAGTATGCACCAATTGAAGAAACTCTACATGTAAGTGGACCCACACATTTCAAACCTGTGTTGTTCAACAGTCCACTGTATATTATTGCAATGATGCTATCTATAGACTGTAGGCAAGCAGCGACACCTAAAATAAGAGACCGGTATACACATGGGTTTTTTCAGTGATCATACAACAGATATTTATTAAACATGAATCATATGTCACTGTGTTCTAGGGATAACTACAGTCCCTCACTTCAAAAAGCTCACATTCTAGCACAATGCTTCTCAAACCCTTTTCTCTTCTGTACCCTATACATTTACTCAAACATAAAACCAAATATTTTATTCCCATTTTACCTCTGACCCTACTCTCACAACACCCTGTACCTGCTTCTATCACAGTATTCATCACACTGGACTGTTATCACAGATGTCCTAGTCTGTTTCCCCAACCAGACTGAAGTACCTTGAGGGCAGGAGCCAAACGTCCTTCAACTTTATATCTCTACTGCCCAGAATAATTATCTGGCACTAAAAATATATTCAATAAATGTTGTATGAATGAATGCATGAATTAAATGCATGGATAAATAAATGAATGAACTGTTTAGCACCTGCTCCAGATGTACAAGGGGCTGACAAGGAAAACTGGCCTTATAATACTGAGGGCTGGCCTCTCCTCCCATAGATATATCAGGTATAATACAGCCCAATGTTCACTTAGTTCTATCTTTTTTAATATTCATATGTATAACAACTAAAAATCAGTTCTTGGTACCATAATTTCAAAGATATGCTCTGGCTCCTTTTCCACCAGAACTCACCTTATAAGCAGGATGACTGCTAGCTCCCCACCTCTCTTTTGCAGGACCCAAGAAAAAGGAATGACGTTTTCAGGCTGGATGACTATGGGCCAATGTTGAATAACTGGTGAATCGAAAGCTGATGCCAAAATCTTCTCACATGACAAGCTCTGCCCTTCCTGGGTACTGGATGGAACCTAGTTGTAGGAATGTCATCAAAGGGAAAAGCAAAAGGGACTATTTACATGTAAAAATTAAAATCCTAGGAAAGATATGAAAGAGCAATCTTTCTGGACTACAGAGAAAGGGAAAATCCAATTCTCATTCCATTTTAGAAAAAGACAGGATACGCACAGTCTTTCCTACAAAAGCATGCAACTTTAAAGACTATCAATACAGTCAATAACAAAGAGGTTAAGAAAGAAACTCAATTGAGGCACTTAGCCACTATTTTCTTTAGCCCTTAAGAAAACCACATCATTCACTGTTTCTCTTCCCTGGCCAGTAGAAACACTGCCTCCTCTTACCCATTCTTCTCCATCCAGATCTCGCTCTTCATCTCCCATCACTACTGTGACCTTCTCTCTGCTAGGTGAATCATGTACCCACATCCAGTCCCATCTCTCTCCAGGTAGGACTTCCAGGGCCTGCTGCTCAGGACAGGTCTCCTCAAGGGGGCCAAATCCCTGTGAACACCCATCAGAAGTAACTCCCTTCTCCCAGTGACTGACATTTTGAGCCAACGGGCAGGAACTGCTCCGCATTTTTTGTCCATTGGCAGTATGGCTTTAGATACCAGTGAAGTTCAGTGGCTCCACTCTGCATTTTAGGTTACTGGCCTGAAAGAAAAGGGCAGGAAAAAAAGAGAGAGGGAGGGAGGGAAAGTCATGAATGGGAGCAGTACCACATCAACAAAAATCACAAAAGAACCAAGCAGCCCGACGGGGAAAGAAACTGGCAAAGAGGAAGGAAGTTAAAGCTCTGATGAGAGTTTCAGAATTCGTGAGAAAAGCCTAAGAGCACCATATCGTTTGGGTTTCCTCTCCTCACCTTACCAGCTATGCGACTGTGGGTAAGCTTTTAGCATATCTAGGCTTCAAGTTGCCTATCTAAAACGTGGGGTAGTGATAGTACCTACCTCATTGGGTTGTTTGAGAATTAAACGAATGAATATCAATATGTATACTACACTTAGGACAAGGCCTGACCCAGAATAAGCGCTATATTCACCAGTTTGCCAAATAAAAAAAACTTTAATTGTAATATTAAAGGATGGCCTAAAGAAGGAGGAGAAGGAGAAGGAGAGAAAAACATTAGAAGAGGTAAAGATAAAATATGCTTCAGCAGGCGGGCCCTCCTACGTCCCAACCCATCCCATCCCACCTCCGACCGCAGGCCCCGCCCCTCCCCAGAAGGCCAGCGAGGGGCTCCCGCCAGAACCCCGGGCAGGGCCTCACAGACCTGCCCCGCAACCTCACCTTCTCCGCCGACCTTGCGGGTCCTGCCTTCTCCGCGGTGGGGCCGAAGGAGCGGAAAGGCCTCCTCAGGTGAGGTCCAAAAAACCCCACCCGCACCTCAGAGACGAGGGGCTGAACTCCAAAGTGCAGACAGAGCCTTTCCATTCCGCGGTCTCCATGGTAACGCGCGGCTTGCCCTTCTAGGACCCCCGGAGGACTCTTCTCTCTGGTCCAGCACTGCAAACCCTGAGAAGCTGGACGGTTCCGGTCCCGGCTTGCTAGTTTGGACCTGTTGCCACATGGAGAACAGATGAGCTTGAATATGAAATTGATCTTCTTCAGCGTCTGAAGAGGGAAAACAACGAAAGAAAATGGAAGCACGAGTTAATCAGAATTACGTGAACGTAAGCTCCACCACGCAGAGATCTTTAACTGTTTTGTTCATTCCTGTATCCCAAGCTCTTATAACAGTTGCTGAAGAAATTCTTGTTAAATGAATGAATTGAAACGATTCTGAAAAAATATTGCTGCAAAGCGTCATTGACTAATATCAGTATTTGCCTCTGATCAGTAGCTTTATTTAAAAGAGAACTACGTGTCACGTACGTTTAAATATCTTATAATTTGGGGATTATGAAAACCCACAAGCATGCATTATAAGTAATGTATGCTGTATTTTCCAAAATATTATATTTCTAAAGTATTATATTTTTCTATAATATATTTTCAGTATGTTATATTTCAGTATAATGATTAGCAGTAGAAAGTTGAAGAGAAGTAATTAAGTAAGTTAATTAGTTAAGTAATTAAGTTAAGCATAAAAGATATATTTAAAAATTTGAGGAAGTGGCAAATACTTTTTAGATTATTCTTTCCTACACTAGAATATGAACTGGCTAGCATAAAATTATGGGACATAACCTTTTTAGAAGGGGAAACTCCAAGAAAATTATTTCAAAAAGACAGCCAATATAAACAAAATGAAATCCATAAACTCAAAGACAAAAAACAAATACTTGCTAAAGTTCTGAGTTGAACTGAAAAAATAATCAGAATAATGAACAAGACTGTTGGAAGGAAAATGAAAAATACCTGTGACAGATAAGATGAATGAGCTAAGGATACATTTTTCATTAAGGATATATCTCAAAACCATGAAGTTGAGTATGTACAAAGTACATAATAACCTCTATGAAGCATTCTTGCCAAAAATATTGAACCTAAATCAAATCAAGCCTTTCAGACTTAAATATGTACAGAGTGAAACTATTTGTATAAAATTAGGGAAACGTAAATTATACTATAAAATGTTTATGGCTACCCACATATGTACTAAAAATATATAAACATGCATCGGAATAATAACATCAATATCAAGATAATACTTAACCTGAGAAGGAAGAGGAGAGCAATTGGAGAGGAGTAGACAAGGGGATATAATTATATCTGTAATATTCATATCTTAAGATAGATGTTAAGAGTTTCTTTTATTATTGTTTTGTATGCCTGAAATGTTTGTTATTTTTTTTAAAAGGCCCTGGAAATGAAATTGGTAATTTCAACAGACAGCAGAGGGGCCATAGAATTACTTAACACCAATCAGGCTTCTGTTTCTCCATCAAGGATCATGACCTTCAAATTGGGAATGGTAGGACAAACATTAATATGAGGAAATTAAATTTCAGGACATACAAGGAGATAGTAGAAGAGTAACTACTTGCCTTAAATGAGTGCAAGTCTTTGTACCCAGATAAAATTGCTTGAAGGATCCTGAATTTCAGGCAGATTAGCCACAGGGCCCCTGGAGGCCATTTTTAAGGAGTGTGACGCATGCCTAAGACTGGCAAATACCCAAATTTTAAAAAACTGAAAAAAGATGAACTGTGGAATTAGGGTGAAAAGCTTGACATGGATCCCTGGCAAAATTCCAGCATTAATTATTTTAGATTATTTAGGAGATTTTATGAGATTGGGGTTAACCAAGAAAAATGTAAATAAATTATATCTCAATTGGACTAGATTATTAAAGTCATATACTAAGGATCTGCTGTGGAAGTAAAGTATCTTCATATCAGCAAAGGTTATAGCAAAGTCTCTCATAAATATACCCTGTGAGTGTATGTGTACTGGACGCTAGTACTGTTAAGTAGATTGATATCAGGAAGAAAGACTACAGTCTGAAGAGTGGGTGACCATGCATAGCATCTTTCCTGCAGCCTCTTGCTCAGTGCCTTTGTGCAGTATTCACTGAACTCAGTTTCAGAATTAAGGACTTAGGGATCAGTCTAATCAAAACCCAACTTCCTTTAGAGGAGAAGAATACATTTGTATTAAATTGGAGGATGGAAGGAATTTTTTTAAAATAATGATCATTATTTAGCAATTATTATGAGCCAGGCACTTTCATAAACCGTATATTGTACTTTCACTCTCACAATGAGCTGAGATTAAAGGATTTATTGTTACTGTTTTACAGATGCAGCAATTGAGATGCAAAGGAGTTAAATGACTTGACCAAAATATCAAGCTAGTGAGTGGCAGAGCCAGGAATCAGGTCTTCAGAACATAAGATTGATGAACTTTCCATAATACCATTTTATAACTAATGTGCCCAGTACTTTCTAACCTCTTTTGTTTTTGAATAAATAAAAGCCCTGATAGGCTGGAGGGACTGCTTTTTATGAAAATAGCCTAAGTGTGAGATCCAAGACTCTGGAGTCATTAGTTTCCCTTCTAATTTTATCCTCCTTTGTAGTTTTAGACAAAATTTTAATCTCTTGGCCCTCAGGTTTCTCAAGTGTGAAATGAACGAATTGTACTTGGTCATCACTTCGGTATCTTTCAGACTTGCAATTCTATTATTCTATTGATGAAATTTGATGCCAGGTGATGTGTTAAATGATTTCTGTATATTGTCTCATTTAATTCTCATAATGACTCCGAAAATTAGGAATTCACCCTGGACCTATTTTACAGTTGGGGAACCTGGGGCACAATGTATACCTTGCTTAGGTTCTTATGCACACAGGTACCAAGTGGTTTAGCCTGGATTCAATCCCATAATTAATTTTATTTCATTTTGATAAGCTTTAAAAGAAGTTATGACCATTCACAAAGCTATGCAATCACTCTTCCCTCTGAAAGAAACCAGGACTCCTTGGAGAAATGGCTGGTTCCAGGTCTGGAGCAGGAAATATACAAAATGAGCCTGAAATATCTTGTGCTGCCAGAAGGCAAGAAAACCATCAAAGACTCTTAGAGTTAGATGAAAAGGACACAGGAAATAAAACAAAGGGACTCCCGCTGGCCAAAGATGGAATCATTTGAACATCAAGAAGAAAAAAAAAAAAAAGTACAATTGATTAAGATTCCTTGAATGTTTTTTAAAAATCCATGAGTTAATGATGCTCAAAAAGAGGAAACAACAAAAAATATTAGTTACCAATTGCTGCATAACAAATTACCCCCAAATTTAGAATGAAATATTGAATATTTATTCTCTCACAGTCTCTACAGGTCAGGAATCTGAGAGCAGTTTAGGGGTTGGTTCTAGTTCTGTCTTAAGGTCACAGCCGAGATGTTGACCCAGGCTGCAGTCAACTGAAGCCTTGACAGGGAGCTGGCAGATCCACTTCTAGACTCACTCATGGCTGTTGGCAGGAGGCTTTAGTTCCTCACCACCTGGGTCTCACTTTTCAGCCTGGCAGCTGGCTTCCCCTAGAGTGAGTGATCTGAGAGAAAGGGAAAAAAAGAGAGACCAAGATAGAAGCCACAGTTTCTTTTTCTTTTTCTTTTTTTTATTGGGGTACAGTTGCTTTACGATGTTGTGTGTGTTTCTGCTGTACAGCAAAGCGGATCAGCTGTGTATATACATATATCCCCTCTTTTTTGGATTTCCTTCCCATTTTGGTCACCACAGAGCATTGAGTAGAGTTCCCTGTGCTATGCAGTAGGTTGTCATTAGTTATCTAGTTTATACATAGTATCAATAGTGTAGATATGTCAATCCCAATTTCCCAATTCATTCCACCCCTCCTTTCCCCCCTTGATGTCCATACGTCTGTGTCTCTATTTCTGCTTTGCACGTAGGTTCATCTGTACCATTTTTCTAGATTCCACATATATGCATTAATATGCGATATCTGTTTTTCTGACTTACTTCACTCTGTATGACAGTCTCTAGGTCCATCCACGTCTCTGCAAATGGCACAATTTCGTTCTTTTTTATGGCTGAGTAATATTCCATTGTATATATATACCACATCTTCTTTATGCACTCTTCTGTTGATGGACATTTGGGTTGCTTCTGTGACCTGGCTATTGTAAACAGTGCTTCAGTGAACACTGGGGTGCCACAGTTTCTTTTATTACCTAATACTAGAAGTAACATAACATCATTTCTGCCAGACTCAATTGGTCACACAAACCAACACTGGTAAAATGTAGGAAGGAGATACACAAGAGTATGAATACTCGAAGGCAGTGCTCATTGATGGCCATTTTGAAGAACGGCTAATGTATCAGTGGCCGTGGCACCTAGGGCACAACTTTTTACGCTGAAAATTAGCAATTAAATAGAAAAGTAAACATTTATTTTGTCTTTCCTGTTTGAACTGACATTTCAGGATAACCAAATAACCCTGAATTGATAGGTTAAGGAGATAAAATCCTTGTTTAAAAAGGAATTCCGGGCTTTGCTGGTGGCGCAGTGGTTGAGAGTCCGCCTGCCGATGCAGGGGGCGCGGGTTCGTGTACCCGGTCCGGGAAGATCCCACATGCCGCGGAGCGGCTGGGCCCGTGAGCCATGGCCGCTGAGCCTGCGCGTCCGGAGCCTGTGCTTTGCAACGGGAGAGGCCACAACAGTGAGAGGCCCGCGTACCGCAAAATAAATAAATAAATAAATAAAACAAAATTTAAAAAAAGGAATTCCAACTCATAAATGTGAAAAAAATATTGAATTAGAAAATCCCAGTTCTGCAATAAAATGGTTGATTCAGGCAAAGATCATCAGTGGATGAAACCACCAGATGAAAGGTTGATGAGGAGCTTTACATGGAGGGATCCAACTAGCAAGTGCTGATTCATTGATCAATCTTAGCATCACAAAGAGTGAAATAATGACATTATATGCCTCCTGATATAAAGCAAAAAGAAGTATGTAGCACCACGTAAGAAAGCTTACCCATAAAGGTAAACCAAACTCTAAACCTTTAGAGCTAACATCTAGTTAACAAATACAAGGCTAGAGAAACAAATTAAATGAGGATGCAAACAAAGCCAGCATGTGGAACATTCAGGACAATTGACCCAATTTACTCAATGCGGGGAAAAGTGAAAGATGGAGGAGCTATTCTAGATCTAAATTAAAAGAGGATTAAGAGAAATAACCAAATAAAGTTTGTAGACTTTAGATCTTGATTCAAAAAACCAGCGTATTTTATATATTTGGGAGATTTTAATATGGACTCAGTATTAGATGGTACCCAGGAATTATTTTAATTTTGTTAGGTGGGATAATGACATTGTGGTTCTGTTTTAAGAGATGCGTTCTGAAGAACAGGAAATAACACGTTTGGAGTCTGCGGAGGCTTTCTAGGGAAATTCCTCGACCAGCGAGTTGAGGTTTCCTAGAAAGTCACCGGAAATGATTATTGAAGGACTAGGAAGTGGAGCTAGAATAGATTTCTCTATTTTCTCATTTTTAGAGGAGAATGTCGGCAGGAAGGTCTGTGTCTTCAGCCAGCGTGGGACGGGACTTTAGCCGAGGGGCTCCCAAGCTGCCACTGGTGTCTCCGAACCCGCCGAGGTGCGGCTGGGAGGATCTTGGCACCACCACCTGTTTCACTTAAATACACCCCTTCCCTGGGGCCCGGGACGGCTGGCGGCGACGGGGCGGGGCTTTGGAGCCCGGTCCGCCGGGAGCTGGGGTCCGCCGCGGGTTCCTGCCAAACAAGGGCCTTTTTCTCCTGCATTCCTAACTCCCTCCCGCTCTTCTTGCTCTCAGCAGCCTCATACCCTTTTTTTTTTTTTTCATTTATTTTCCTCCCCAGCATCATTCGTACATTCATTCATTCAGCCAATTTCTAGCTGAGCGCCTACTGGTGAAGGCACTGTTTTCGAAGTTGGGAATACAGCAGTGAACAAAATAGACAAAAATCCCTGCCCTCAAAAGCCTGGGAGCCTACATTTTATTGAAGGGGAGATCTACAATAAACAATAGAAAGAATATAAGTTAACTTATGCACCATGTTGGAAAGTGATGAAGTGCTATATAGGAAGGTAAGGCATGTCAGGATTGGAAGGAGGGGGTAGGCTGTAATTTTAAATAGGGGACCTAGAGTAGGTTTCCGTGGGAGGATTATGTACAAGCAAACAGTTGAAGGAAGCAAGATTATTCATCGTGAGGGTAGCTTGAGGTGGAGGGGACAGCCAGTACAAAGGCCCTAAAATGGAAATGTGCCTAAAAAGGAAGAGAAAGGTCTGTGTGACTGAAGAGGGTTGAATGAGGGGGAGAATAGTAGGAGAGGTAACAGCACACCCTATAGACTTGTATGCCATTGTAAGGTCCGGGCTTTGCTGGTGGCGCAGTGGTTGAGAGTCCGCCTGCCGATGCAGGGGGCGCGGGTTCGTGTACCCGGTCCGGGAAGATCCCACATGCCGCGGAGCGGCTGGGCCCGTGAGCCATGGCCGCTGAGCCTGCGCGTCCGGAGCCTGTGCTTTGCAACGGGAGAGGCCACAACAGTGAGAGGCCCGCGTACCGCAAAATAAATAAATAAATAAATAAAACAAAATTAAAAAAAAGGAATTCCAACTCATAAATGTGAAAAAAATATTGAATTAGAAAATCCCAGTTCTGCAATAAAATGGTTGATTCAGGCAAAGATCATCAGTGGATGAAACCACCAGATGAAAGGTTGATGAGGAGCTTTACATGGAGGGATCCAACTAGCAAGTGCTGATTCATTGATCAATCTTAGCATCACAAAGAGTGAAATAATGACATTATATGCCTCCTGATATAAAGCAAAAAGAAGTATGTAGCACCACGTAAGAAAGCTTACCCATAAAGGTAAACCAAACTCTAAACCTTTAGAGCTAACATCTAGTTAACAAATACAAGGCTAGAGAAACAAATTAAATGAGGATGCAAACAAAGCCAGCATGTGGAACATTCAGGACAATTGACCCAATTTACTCAATGCGGGGAAAAGTGAAAGATGGAGGAGCTATTCTAGATCTAAATTAAAAGAGGATTAAGAGAAATAACCAAATAAAGTTTGTAGACTTTAGATCTTGATTCAAAAAACCAGCGTATTTTATATATTTGGGAGATTTTAATATGGACTCAGTATTAGATGGTACCCAGGAATTATTTTAATTTTGTTAGGTGGGATAATGACATTGTGGTTCTGTTTTAAGAGATGCGTTCTGAAGAACAGGAAATAACACGTTTGGAGTCTGCGGAGGCTTTCTAGGGAAATTCCTCGACCAGCGAGTTGAGGTTTCCTAGAAAGTCACCGGAAATGATTATTGAAGGACTAGGAAGTGGAGCTAGAATAGATTTCTCTATTTTCTCATTTTTAGAGGAGAATGTCGGCAGGAAGGTCTGTGTCTTCAGCCAGCGTGGGACGGGACTTTAGCCGAGGGGCTCCCAAGCTGCCACTGGTGTCTCCGAACCCGCCGAGGTGCGGCTGGGAGGATCTTGGCACCACCACCTGTTTCACTTAAATACACCCCTTCCCTGGGGCCCGGGACGGCTGGCGGCGACGGGGCGGGGCTTTGGAGCCCGGTCCGCCGGGAGCTGGGGTCCGCCGCGGGTTCCTGCCAAACAAGGGCCTTTTTCTCCTGCATTCCTAACTCCCTCCCGCTCTTCTTGCTCTCAGCAGCCTCATACCCTTTTTTTTTTTTTTCATTTATTTTCCTCCCCAGCATCATTCGTACATTCATTCATTCAGCCAATTTCTAGCTGAGCGCCTACTGGTGAAGGCACTGTTTTCGAAGTTGGGAATACAGCAGTGAACAAAATAGACAAAAATCCCTGCCCTCAAAAGCCTGGGAGCCTACATTTTATTGAAGGGGAGATCTACAATAAACAATAGAAAGAATATAAGTTAACTTATGCACCATGTTGGAAAGTGATGAAGTGCTATATAGGAAGGTAAGGCATGTCAGGATTGGAAGGAGGGGGTAGGCTGTAATTTTAAATAGGGGACCTAGAGTAGGTTTCCGTGGGAGGATTATGTACAAGCAAACAGTTGAAGGAAGCAAGATTATTCATCGTGAGGGTAGCTTGAGGTGGAGGGGACAGCCAGTACAAAGGCCCTAAAATGGAAATGTGCCTAAAAAGGAAGAGAAAGGTCTGTGTGACTGAAGAGGGTTGAATGAGGGGGAGAATAGTAGGAGAGGTAACAGCACACCCTATAGACTTGTATGCCATTGTAAGGACTTAAGCTTTTATTTTGAATGAACAAGAGAGATTCAGAAGGCACATTCTTTAGGGCCTTTTATGTTACTCTTTATTTTCAGTAAGATGGACCCATTGAGGGGTTTTAAGCAGAGAGATGAAATAATCCAACTTAAGTTTTAAATGGCCTACTCTGTTGTATTGAGGATAGAAGCAGGAGACCAGCTGGATGGCTAACGTAATACTGTAGGGCAATGCAGACAATGGTGGCTTGGGACAAGATAGTGGCAGTGGAGGTTGTATTCTGGATATATTATCATTTTCAGTTTGTCTTCCCCTGCTCCCTCGTCTCCCATAGATACCTCAGTGATTCCTTCTTTTTGCTTTGGTCACATTCCTCTCTTTTCTCCTCCCTTCATCGAATATGCAGGAAAATAAGGTATGGGATTACCACTAGCTTAGTACTGCTGATGAACCCCAAATCCAGGGCAGTATTTGACACATCAAGCCAAAAAGCAGCTGCCCTGTGGGTCAGGAGAGGCCCTTTGGCTGGCACCACCAAGGCTTAAATCCCTGAAAGGAGGCTGGTATCCACTGGAGCCACTTCAAAACTGGTCCAGGCAAAGCCACGATTGACTTTGGGAGCTGGATCCAACCAGCAGAGAAGAAACCGGGACAGTGTTAGAAGACTGGAAAAGAAAGCTGGGTAAAAAGATGCAGCAGGTAAAAAGAGGGGTGTCTGCAGTATATCACAAAGAGGAAGAACTGAGCCCAAGAAAGGAGGAAAGCAGTGGGAGTGTGGTGGGCCTGGATTGACCTTGTGGAAGTGTTCTCCTTCAAAATACTTTTTTTCCTGGATGGCCTGGTGATCATTTTACATTATAGAACAATTGGATGCCATTTCTGTTTTTCATAAGGTATATCAGGGACTGAGTCCCTGATTTTCTCACCCCTCTTGGTAGTTCTGGGAGTTGATTTCCATGAACAGAACTTCATAGTTGGTTGCAGCTTCCCATACATTTTCCATCCCTCCATAACCTCTCCAAATGTATTCTTTTCCTTGCAATAGGTGGTGGTATCAGATGAGACTCCAGGACCATCAAACCAGCTTTGTATCTGTGATACCAAGCTCCTGCAGGAAAGAGGTAATGCACACAGGGTATTGTGGCAGGAGTTATGGCAGCTGAAAATGGGGCAGGGACACAGACTAAGTGGGAGACGCTTCCTGGGGCCTGGAAATATGCTCATTATTGAGTATTTATAGGAAATCTATTATTTCTATACTAGGCTTGGCTCGGTATTGAGAGGAACTAAATTATTAGGTTTCTACCCTCATCTTAAACCAAATTTGGAAAAAAATAAAGATTCATAAAAAAAGATTCTTCAAAGCAATTTATGAAAGATATTGAATGTATTCATTCACTTATTATATGTACAACTTTATGTATGATAAGTAGCTTACATATGTGTACATGAATATTTGCACATATAAAACTTGTGGTATAATACAGTAACTCCTCCCAACCACAATTTTACCAACGTGTAAAATTTGAGTGTAGGTAATTTTATTTCTGTACCTGTGTTAACCCTGAGATTTTTAAATTACGTATAGGTATACCTGAGAAATAGAAGATAAAGCCATGGCAAAAGAAGGAGCAAAGATATTGTCATGAAGCTTTGAGAAGAATAAAGGAAGATGGGGAAATGTGGGGCTGGGCTTTAAAAATGCTCTTTGGTGGCATATATGAAGAGAAAACTGGATAAGATTTGTATAGAAGTGGCTGATGGTATTTAACAATTCTGGAGTCATAAAATTAGGCACTGAAAGGCACAGACTTTTAGAGGACTAGGCCCCTGGACACCCCAAAAATAGGCTTTTAGTATATATTACCTACAAAGAAAAAATACGTAAAATGAATTTCTAAGCATATTATTGGAACTTCCAGAAGAGGAATCTTGAAATTTCCACTGTATAGGTAATCATAAATGAAAATTAATAATATAGTACATATTCATCACAAATTTAGGAGAGGTAGAAAATAATGAATATTGCTTAACTTCGTTGTTCATTTTATTTCATTTTTTAAAATGTATATAATTTTATGGTTCACATCTGACCTGAGTATCCAAGTCCTCTTTTTCTCAAAAGATCTTGAATTCTCTTCCTATAGGTGATTTTCAGGGCCATAAAGTTTACAGTTACTTAACATAAAATGTAAATGAGTTAATCTCGCCCTGGATAATATCTATACACTGCTTTAACAAATAGTTTTGTTATGGGCTGAATGTTTGTGACCCCTCAAAATTCGTGTGTTGAAGCTCTAACCCACCCCGCAGTGTGATGATATTTAGAGATGAGGCCTTTGGGAAGTAATCATGTTTAGATGAAGTCATAAGGGTGGGGACCCAATGATGAGATTAGTGTCCTCAGAAAAGGAAGAGACCAGAGCTTTCACTCTCTCCCACATGTGAATTCCCACTAGGGAATTCCCCCAAGTTCATTTTTAACTTGAGGGCAGAAACTGACCTTTCAAATTCTGAGGCTAAAAAATAAAGTTTAAGAATCATTACAGTGGGGGGAATTCCCTGGCAGTCCAGTGGTTAGGACTTTTGCTGCCGTGGCCAGGTTTGCTTGGGGAACCAGGATCCCACAAGCCTCAGGGAGGCTAGGAAAAAAAAATCACTGCAGTGGTGACCAAGGGCTCGGGAGAGGGAAAAATAAGTTGTTGTTGTTTAATGGGTATAGAGTTTCAGTTTCGCAAGATGAAAAAGTTCTGGAGATCTATTATGCAACATTGTGAATATTTTTAACACTATTGAACTGTACACTTAAAAGTGGTTAAAATGGTAAATTTCATATTATATGTTTTTTACCACAATTAAAAACAGTTTTTAATGTAATGAACACTTAGGGGAAAAAAAGCCATGACAAGGTAACAAAACTTTCCTAATTTATGAAGAAGATACGGTAAAAATCCAACTGGATGTATATGGAGAAGAGTTTGGGTTAGATAGGGTGTGCTTTGTCAAAAATTTAAGACTTGTATATTTTACTGTATGTAAATTTTACTGTATGTAGATTTTACTTCAGAAGCAGGAA